GCAAGCCTCCGGCTGCCGGGTCCATTTCCACCCCCCCCACTCCAGGACCGGAGACAGGAGGCAGAAGCCTCCGGTCGCCCACTCCCTTCCCCTCCCCCACCACCCACTCCCAACAGGCACTGAGGGGAATGTAGGGTTGCCAGCTCTAAGGAGGGAAATACCTGGAGGTTTGGGGGGTGGATTCTGTAGAGGGCAGCATTGGGCGGGGGGGGGGGGCGGAAGGACTCAGCAGGTATAATGTCATAGGGTCTACCCTCCTAAAGCAGTCATTTTCTCTAGGGGAACTGATCTCTGTCATCTGGAGATCAATTGTAGCAGTGGGAGATCTCCAGGTCCCACCTGGAGATTGGCAACCCTAGGGGAAAGTCAGCTGCACAGCAGGGGGTTGAAGAGAATGGTTTGATGGCTGCTGGGCCAAGATTGGCAACAATAGTTCCCCAGGAGCCCCATCGTAAATGCACCAAACAATTCCTCAAGATTTTCCAAAACACTACTCTGTTTTGGGCTCCTGGGGAACTTTGAAGTAGCACCAAAGCTTTAAGATCTCTCCAGCTGTCACCTGGAGACTGGCAACAGCTTCTCTGGTGTGTGGACAGCATGGCATTGTATCTGTCTGAGGTCCCCCTCTTCCTCCTCCTCCTCAAATCCCACCCTCAGCAGGCTTCATCCCTAAAATATCCTGGAAGTTTCCAACCTGGAGTTGGCAACCCTATGTACTGGAGTTCGAACCTGGAGTTGGCAACCATCAGCCAACGTTTATCTGCCTGTCTGTCTTTACAACCCCCCCCCCACACACAGCCTCTGCCTAGGGAGCAGCTGACATCATTCTCCTCTCCCAACTGAAAATTCCAACTGCCTTGCGGGGGGGGGTGAGTTTGAGGTGTGGAATGGAGTGTAGTCCAATCAGCTTCCATATGTAAATGACCTTGGAATGCTGGCCGGGGCTGCACAAAGCAGCCAATGAACCCAGCCAGTGTCTTCCGAGTGGCAGTTTTTTCGGCCTAACACTAAAGGGGCCAATTTTAGAATTCTGGCACCCAAAACTCTTTTATAATAAGGGAGAGATAGCTTGTGTCAACGAGAAGTACTGATGGACACAGATTTTCCCCTTGTATCCTGCCTCGAAAAGGAAGGGAACAAAACCATCCTGTGTGTCCCATCGGTTCAGCTCCAGTGACAGACTAAAAAGGACAAGGCAGTTTTGCCCCCTTTCCACTGTAGCCTCCTGTCCACTGAGGCTATTAAACTACATGGATCCTGCAACCCCCCCCCCCCCCGAAATAAACTTTCCTGAGGTCAAAAAGGCCTGCAGATGTGGCAAAGATCCCCGGTCCTTGCGTCCATGGATTATGGAGTGCAACCCATTGTTCACTGTTGGCCAGAGAGGACAAAAATAAACAGCTATAGATTAATGTTTCCTAGGATTCCACTTTATCCACCCACGTCTTATATCTGATTACCTTAATTTATACCTTGGCTTCTGGTATATCAGGTATGTGTTTTATGTCGTTACAGTCAATTAAGTTTAGCTGATCCTGAAACTGTGGAGGGGAGAGATTTATTTGATTAAGAAATGCAGTTCTTATTCCAGCATTGATACAAATATGCTCTACAGGCATCCCCCCCAGTGCACTAAAGTCAAGAGCTTTGAAATAATGGGACCGAAGTAGGAACAACAGATGCTCTCTGCAAGTCTACATACACTCCAGGCTTCCCTTGCAACGATTCCTTCCTTCAGTCCATTAGAACAGCCCTGCTGGATCAGACCATTAGTCCATGTAGTCCAGCATCCTTTGTCACACAGTGGCCAACCAGTTCCCCTGGAGGGCCAACAACAGGGCACAGAGGCCAAGGCCTTCATAAGAACATCAGAAGAGCCCTACTGGATCAAACCAGTGGTCCATCTAGTCCAGCATCCTCTGTCACACAGTGCCCAGCCAGTTCCTCTGGATGGCCAACAACAGGGCAGAGAGGCCAAGGCCTTCCCCTGATGCTGCCTCCTGGCTCTAGGATTCAGAGGATTAGTGCCACTGAATGTGGAGGTTCCCCTCAGTCACCTTGGCTAGTAGCCATTGATAGACTTATCCTCCCTGAATCTATCTAATCCCCTTTTCAGGCTGCTTACTCATAAGAACATAAGAACATAAGAGACGCCAATGTTGGATCAGGCCAAAGGCCCATCTAGTCCAACACTCTGTGTCACACAGTGGCCAGAAATACCAGTGCCATCAGGAGGTCCAGCAGTGGGGCCAGGACATTAGAAGCCCTCCCCCTTTTGACTCCCCCCCCAAGCACCAAGAAGACAGAGCATCACTTGCCCCAGAGCCCCTATCTATACCTTGTGGCTAATAGCCACTGATGGACCTCTGGCAGCGAATCCCACATTTTTAATCACTCTCTGAGTAAAGTAGTATTTCCTTTTCTCCATCCTGAGCCACTGCCTATCAGCTTTGTTGGGTGTCCTTGAGTTCTAGTATTTTAGGCGAGGGAGAAAAAATTCTCTTTGCCCACTCTTCCCACCCCATGCATAATGTTATAAAAGTCTACTATGTCCCTCCTTAGTCAACTCATCTCTAAACTGGAAAGTCCCAGATTCTTCAGCCTTTCCTCCAACCCTCTGATCATCTTGACTGTACTCCGAAGATGTCAAAGTTCAGGAAAGGGGTTTCCCCACACCTCCTCATTCATGACCAGCATTCATGGTTGTTCTGTTTGCTGCCAACAAACCGGTAGTGGTCGTGAGGCCGACTTTGTAACCGCACATCATAAAGATGC